TATAGGAATATGGGGGAGTCCGGAGACAAACTTGGTGTTGGGACTCAGCCAGCGCCCTAGTTACTCTTCTTCCTTGGTACAATTTCTACTGTGGCCATTGATTAGGGTAGCATCCCCCCACCCCTGAACATGCACTTTTGTTATACGGTGTATGTTTGTGATGATCTCTCTCTGCCTGAAATCTTACGTGTGCATGCTAAAAATCTCTTTCAGGAATGAACAAATTAGACAGTTGGAGCTTGCTGGAAAGTGCTTTTCAACAGTGGTTAGGATGGTTATAAATCCACCTTACAGAGTGATGCGATCTGCTGTGCATGGTTGAGTACACAGGCACACAGAAAACATAAGGGAACTTACTCACTTTGCATAATATACTCTATTCTAATATCTTGGTCTTTTGGGGTTTTTTTTTTTGTTTGTTTGTTTGTTTTTGTTTTTCACTCATTCCAAAGCCAGGTATGCGAGTGCATGCCTATAATCCCAACACTCAGGGCACCTTTTCATGTCTGTGCCTTAGCTCTTGTTGGTCCCAAGCACAACTTCCTCTGACCTTCATACATGTAGCTGCTTGCTGCTTACTCCTGGGTGTGCACTTGGCAGTTCTTTCCTCATATGCAAGGGTCCAGATTATACAGGCTGTTCCGTGACAGTGGTCCCACTGTGCAGTGTGATCAGGGTGGCAGGAATAGACCCCAGAGGGATTAGGGCAGGTCGCCAACCACCCATCACAGGCTCCATCCAAGTGACTATGTCCCTGGCCCTCTGCTCCAGAGCAACAGGATGTGTGTACAAGAGTCCTGAGTGACAGGTGCTTCTGCAAACCCACCAGAAACCATCAGCCCCTTTGCAATCAGGTTCCAAATGGAATATGTTGGTGGTGATTACCACTGCCAAAGGTGGGACCTTTCTCTGCAGCTAGTGGGGCAGGCATCTCTGCTCTCTGAAAGAGGGTGTCTGGAAAGCAGTTTTTACTTAAGTGAAGTACCCTGTGAGAGGTTCGGAGACTGAGTTTTCTCTTTGTGTTGCTCAGTCTGTGGTGCCCTGGGCCTACTGCTCTTGGTGCTGTATTAGTGATTGTCCTCCTAACCCAGCCTCTTAGGTTGTCTCTTTTTGCCACACTTATTTCAACTACAGGGAAACCTCATATTCTGTCGTGTGCTAGCACTGGGCATCTGCCTTACAGACAGCTCTGACCTGTCTGGAGAGGCAAACTAGGGCATGCCTTGTCTTCTAGGCTTTGAGCAGCCCGAGAGGACCTCGTCGACCCTGGGTCTTATTGGAAGTGCAGGCTGTGTTTCTCCGCTAGCATTCTCTTCAGCCTGTGTTCTCATGGGGCCCAAGAGGTTCCAAGCCAGGCCCACTGTGTCTCCAGTGTGGAGGAAACATCCATGGGCACACTTTGCTCTTGCCTCGTTTCCATGTGCCTGAGGCATGTGTGTCAATGAAAGTGAGGGCTTTGTGATTCAGTCCTTTGAGACTTCTGATACCCGCCGGTGCTCCCTAAGTAAGTCCTCTGTCAGAAACAGAATAACTGAGTTATGACATCAGTGAATAGTACTGTAAGGTAGACAAGTTTTAATGTATGTGTGTAATATATGATGTATAAGTACCGTGCGCTGATTGTGCCACTGGAGCTTCATATGTGTGCAGTATAGCAGAAAGCCATGACCAAATTAAAAGATCTTGTGTCCATTGTATAACCTCTTCAACACTGCCTGCCATTAGTTACCAATCTGATAGCTGTTCATTTTCTTTTCTTTTTTTTTTGGTGGAACCGGGGATTGAACTCAGGCCCTTGTGCTTACCAGGCAAGCGCCTATTATACTGAGCCATCTCCCCGGCCCCACTGTTCATTTTCTAAAAGGACAGTATGGCCTCTTGCATGTATAGCCTCTTTAGCTATTTTGAGATCTATAGTGAGTACTGTATGTACCGTGTACATTGGATCATAGTTACTATTGAGTAATGTTCATATTCTGTTTGTTGTATGATATACTCATTTATGGGTTGTCACCAGTTCTGGGGTATTACCTGTTGGGCTGCCATGAATGCTTATGTGGAAGTCTTTGTTTTGCTTGCTGACTGTTATGAAATTGAGGACTTAGATCATATGGTCTGGCTGGGGGGATAGCTCAGTAGAATAAACACTTGCCTGGCAAGTGCAGGGTCCTGAGTTCAATCCCCGGTATTGAAAAACAAAACAAACAAACAAACAAAAAAAACCCAAAACGGTCTGGAAATACTAACTTTTTAAGAAACTGCTAATAGTTTTCCAAGTGGTTGAACCATTCTATAGCCTCACCAGCAAAGATTTGGTTTCCTTTCATTGCTTCCAATACTTGGTATTCTCTTTTTGTGTGTGTGTGCAGCTCAGCCTGCCCTGGGAGTGGGGCTGGCATGGCATGTGGTACCAGGGATTGAACTGCAGTCACTGTGCTTACCTAAACTTACAAGGCACTTTAGTGTCTGCTGAGCTATCTTGTTGTCCCCAGTATTATCTTTTTTATTTTACCCATCCTAGTTTATTTTGCATATTACTAATGAGCATCTTTTTGTTGTTTTGCTTTTGAGACAGAGTCTTGCTCTGTAGTCAAGCATGGCCTTAAACTCACTATGTAGGCCAGGCTGGCCTTGAATTAACAGCAATCCTCCTACCTCAGCCTCCTGAGAGCCGGGATAACAAGCATGCACCACTGTGCCCAGAAAAATCATGTATGCCATGATTTGAGAACTCTTTATTTTGGATTCAAGTCTCTTACCAGATAGGATCCCCACCCCTGTACCAGGGATTGAACTCAGAATCTTGCGCTTGCCTGGCAAGCGCTTATTCTGCTGAGATATCTCCTTGGCCCCATTACCAGATAGGATTTATGAATATTTTCTTCTGGGGATATAGCACAGTGGCATAAGTGCCTTCCTGGGTAAGCACAAGGTCCTGAGTTTAATCCCTGGTACCGCAAAAACAAAACAAACAAAAAGTGTCTTTACAATTGATCTTAGCTAAAAGGCTGAGAAGACATTAAAGTGTCTTTAAAAGAGTATTTTGGCCTTGGATGATGGCACACACCCATAATCCCAGCACTGGGGAGACTGAGGTAGGAGGATCCTCATGAGTGCAGCCAGCCAGGCCTACAAAGTGAGCTTAAGCCCAGCCTGAACTGTATTATAAATCTCAAAAAGGTAAGTGAATGGATGAATGACTGAATAGAAAAGAAAAAAAGAACAGCAGAAACTTAAAGGTTTGCTAAAGCCCATTGTACTAATTTTCTTCTGGATCATACTTTTTTTTTGGGGGGGGAACCGGGGATTGAACTCAGATCCTTACATTTGTCGGTCAAGCGCTTATCCTACTGAGCCATCTCCCTGGCCCCAAAGCATTTTTTTTTTTTTTTTTTTTTTTTTTTCAGAACCAGGGATTGAACTCAGGCACTTGTGCTTGCCAGGGAAGTGCTTATTCCACTGAGCCATCTCCCCAGCCCCATGGATCATGCTCCCCCCCCCCCAACTGGGGATTGAACTCAGGCCCTTGCATTTGCCAGAGAAGCGCTTATTCCACTGAGCCATCTCCCCAGCTCCCATGCTTTTGATGTATTTAAAAAGGTTTACCTAGGGCCCAGGGAGATGGCTCAGTGGAATAAAAAAAAGAAAGAAAGAAATGTTAGAACTTTAGGTTTTAAATTTAGGTTCATGATTCATTTTGAGTTAATTTTGTATAAGATTTGGATTAAAATTGTTCTTTGTATACCAGTTCAGAATCTTTTGTGGAAAATACTGTCTGCTTTCTGCTAAGCTCCTTGGAACTTTGTCTTAAACCTCCCATCTTACATGTATAGAAAGAAAGAAATCTCTCAACATCTGGAGCCTGAAAAGAGGTAAAAACCACTGAGGGAACAAGTGAGAACTCTGGGTTTCCAGATGGTGATGGAGTTTGGCTTCAAGTTGGGATATGCTTTTTGAGACAAGGTCTTGCTTTGTAGTGCAGGCTGGCCTTGAGCAGACTGTAGGTCAGGCGGGCCTGAACTTGAGGTGATCCTCCTGGTCAGCCTCCCGAGTGCCAAGGCTATAGGTTATAGGTGTTCAGTACCACAAGCTCACCCTGGGAGTCCAGCAAGAACAGACCCATTAGGTGTGCATCCTAGGATGAGTTGGGAAGATAGGCCCTGAAACCACTCTTGGTACTGCTTTCCTCTTTCACAAAGCACTGGGTGAAGGAGGCAGAATTCGTAGCAAGCACTTTCTAGAAGCACAAGAGGGACATTAATTCATTACCTCAAGTGACTGCTTTAAGACAGGGCTTCCGTACCTGTAGGTCTAGCTGCAGAGGTGACTGAACCTCTGTGGAGGGGACTGAGACTTAGGATCCTCGGCATCCCTATTGTGTATGGAATTCACAGTTACATGGGGTCTATAAGGTTCTGGACCAGCACTGTTTGGATTCAGGGTACGCATGACTCAGGCAGCAGTTGAGTTGGTAGCAGACTGTCACTGTTAAGAACCTAGTTCTGAGGGGCCGGGGAGATGGCTCAGTAGAATAAGTGCTTCCCTGGCAAGCACAAGGTTCTGAGTTCAATCCCCAGTTCTGCCCAAAAAAAGAACCTAGTTCTGTGCCTACCACCATCAACTCAAGCCTTCCCAGAGACAGTGACACATGGCTGTCTAAAGGAACTCCCAGGGCCAGAAGGTGACCTTATTCGTGGCTGGGCAGCCACAGGCGCTTCTCCCTTTAGGGTTCTCTCTTATCTTAGCATCTGCACTCTGCCTCCTTTTGGGTCCAGGGGACAGGAGGTTCAGCGCTGAACCCTGCAGGTGCACAGCTCTCCTGGGTCCAAGCTGAGTCTATTCTCTGGTGGGAGAAGTGAGCTGGCCTGGTGCACCCAGCCTGTGTTGCCCTCTGGGGCCAGCTGGGTGGTTTGGGGGAGGGAGGACTGATTAGCCCCCATGTGTGCCCCAGAGCTAGAGACCCCCGTCTAATGCTCGGGGAAACACTTTCTGTTTTCCAGGCACTACTGGCAGGTATGCGGAACCGGGAGAACAGCTCGCCCTGCCAGGGCAATGGAGAGGCAGCCAGCAGGGGCAGGAGCATGGGCTCTGCATGGCTGGGTGAGGAGGAGCCCTGCAATGACACAACTACCCCTTCCTACAAGAAGCCTCTCTATGGCATCTCCCACAAGATTATGGAGAAGAAAAACCCACCCCCAGGGGACCTGCTTAGTACCTATGAGGTCTTTGAGAAGCCAAACTCCAGCAACAGCCCCTCCCCACTGCGCCTGCTGGGTGAGTCTCAGAAGCGAGACTGCAGCAGCTCCGGGGCAGCCACTGATGGCGACCCCAATATCTACTTCCTGATCCAGAAGATGTTCTACATGCTCAACACACTCACATCCAACATGTCCCAGCTGCACAGCAAGGTGGACCTGCTCTCCTTGGAGGTGAGCCGTATTAAGAAGCAGGTGAGCCCTTCTGAGCTGGTAGCCAAATTCCAGCCGCCTCCCGAGTACCAACTGACCGCTGCTGAGCTCAAGCAGATTGTGGACCAGAGCCTGTCGGGTGGTGATTTGGCCTGCCGGCTGCTGGTGCAGCTCTTCCCTGAGCTCTTCAGTGATGTGGACTTCTCTCGTGGCTGCAGTGCCTGTGGCTTTGCTGCCAAGCGCAAGCTGGAGTCGCTACACCTGCAACTTATCAGAAATTATGTGGAAGTCTACTACCCCTCAGTGAAGGACACGGCGGTGTGGCAGGCCGAGTGCTTGCCACAGCTAAACGACTTCTTTAGCCGTTTCTGGGCCCAGAGGGAAATGGAGGACAGCCAGCCAGGTGGCCAGGTCCCCAGCTTTTTTGAAGCTGAGCAAGTGGATGCCAGCCACTTCTTGGACAAGAAGGATCAGGAGGAGGCCCTGTCTCTGGACCGGAGCAGCACCATTGCCTCTGACCATGTGGTGGACACACAGGACCTCACAGAGTTCCTGGACGAAGCCTCATCACCGGGTGAATTTGCAGTCTTCCTTCTCCACCGGCTCTTCCCCGAGCTCTTTGACCACCGGAAGCTTGGTGAGCAGTACAGCTGCTATGGAGATGGTGGCAAGCAGGAGCTGGACCCGCAGAGGCTACAGATCATCCGCAACTACACAGAGATCTACTTTCCTGACATGCAGGAGGAGGAAGCTTGGCTGCAGCAATGTGCCCAGCGCCTCAATGATGAACTGGAGGGCCTGGGGCTAGAGGGGGGCAGCGAGGGGGAAGCCCCACGGGACGACTGCTATGACTCCTCCAGCCTCCCGGATGACATCTCCGTGGTCAAGGTGGAGGACAGCTTTGAGGGTGAGCGGCCTGGCCGGCGCTCCAAGAAGATCTGGCTGGTACCCATTGACTTTGACAAGCTGGAGATCCCGCAGCCGGACTTTGAGGTGTCGGGCAGCGACTGCCTGCTCAGCAAGGAGCAGCTGCGCAGCATCTATGAGAGCAGCCTGTCTATCGGCAACTTCGCCTCCCGCCTGCTGGTGCACCTCTTCCCTGAGCTCTTCACCCATGAGAACCTGCGAAAGCAGTACAACTGCAGCGGCTCCCTGGGGAAGAAGCAGCTGGACCCTGCTCGCATCAAGCTGATCCGCCACTATGTGCAGCTGCTCTATCCCCGGGCCAAAAATGACCGTGTGTGGACCCTGGAGTTCGTAGGCAAGCTGGATGAGCGCTGCAGGCGCCGGGACACTGAGCAGCGCCGTTCCTACCAGCAGCAACGCAAGGTGCATGTCCCTGGCCCCGAGTGCAGGGATGTGGCAAGCTATGCCCTCAATGCTGAGAGGTTCCGGGAAGAGTATGAGGGCCCCCCACTACCCCCAGAACGAAGTAGCAAGGACTTCTGCAAGATCCCCCTGGATGAGCTGGTGGTTCCCTCGCCCGACTTCCCGGTGCCTTCTCCCTACCTGCTGTCAGACAAGGAGGTGCGTGAGATTGTGCAGCAGAGCCTGTCTGTGGGCAACTTTGCCGCCCGGCTCCTCGTCAGGCTCTTCCCTGAACTCTTCACCGCCGAGAACCTCCGGCTGCAGTATAACCATTCTGGAGCTTGCAACAAGAAGCAGCTGGACCCTACTCGGCTCAGGCTCATCCGTCACTACGTGGAAGCTGTCTACCCAGTGGAGAAGATGGAGGAGGTGTGGCATTATGAATGTATCCCCAGCATTGATGAGCGGTGTCGCCGCCCCAACAGGAAAAAGTGCGACATCCTCAAGAAAGCCAAGAAGGTGGAGAAATGATGGGCCTATGGGCTGCCCAGAGACTTAGGATGGCCAAAGTCTGAGTGCTGGGCACCGCTGGGGCTGAGCGTCACTGCGGAGCACGTGTATGGTACCCACAGACAGGCACCTTATGTCCATGGGGAGTGGCTTCCTACCTTTGCACACATCAACACCCACCCAACCACAAGGAAGGAGCCTTGAAATTTTAGATTTCTTGTACTTGTACTCATGGCTGTCCCGTGTCCCCTGGTGTGGCTGCTGGAGTTTAGGGGAGGACGGCCAACAGAGCAGAAGAACCAGAGGAGCAGGGTCCTGTCTGGCCGCAGCCCACGCAGCCCTCCTGTTCAGAGTGCGGACTTGGCGGCTCCTGTTCTCTACTCACATTTACATCTCCTGTTTTACCCCCTCCCCACTTACCCTTTTTTAATTAAACTGAAACCCTTTTTTAAAAAGCAAAAATCAGTGGGCTCTTTGGGGGCCATTTTACTTAGGAAAAAACCAGTCTTTTTTAAGTATGTGAGAGGAAGTACTGTAAGATGAGTAAGGTGCTGGGATTTTTAAAGATTTCAGATTTAATGAATTTTGTAGAAGTGCCATGTTCATGCATGATGGGTAAAAACTGAGCTCCCTGACCTTGTTTTTAACATCTGGTTCTGGAAGGCTCGGATGCCCCTTGGATGGTGGGAGAGGGATGGGCCAAGAACAGCGAGGTGGAGCTTCTTCTGACCAAGTTGCCCCTCCCTCCACAGCACCCAGGCAGGTTGTGGCGCTGTCGCCTGGGCAGCCTGTGGTGCCCCCTCTGTAGATGAGAACACTGGATGATGATGCTATGAATGTAGACAGACGTGGAGGCCTGTGTTAAGGCTGTCTCCATGTGAGCTGTGTCCTTCCATTCCGCGCCTGTTCCCTGTCTGTGTATGGGTGCTGTTTGGAAGGGCAGTTAAGTTTTCTTGGAAAACAGTATGTATGGGCATGTGGCTTTTTATTTGATTTAAGGGTGGGCCTCTTTGGGCTTACCGAGAACTGTTTGTTTTCCGTGTGGGTATTTGTGTGAAATCCGGGTTCTGGGTGCTACAGGATGACTTCCCCAAACCTGTGTGTGCGCCTCCCACAGCAGGACGTCCTTGTTCCTGGGCAGGCATGCCTGGGCCTGGGCCCTCCTGGGAATACCTGGCTTTGAAAAGACACAGGTCATCTCAGATAGGACTTGTGTGTCCTTCCCAGGCCCACTCAAAACTTTCTCCCCAGACCCTCTGTAAGGTTCTACTGCCTTGCCCCGGCCTGTCCCCTGGGGTGAAGTGCATCATCCCTTCCCTCCTTGCTGACTTGGAAAGTGTGCCTTCTCCAAGCCAGCAGCTTGCTCTCAGGAGTGCTAACCAGGAGACCCTGTGACAGGTATGTCCTAAAAGACAGTATTTCACCCTGGATGGGGGTCACATGCTTGAGGGGAAAGGAAACAGTTTAGCGTGAGGTGACTGCATCTTGCCAGAGACCCTGAAAATAACTGAATCAAACCAGGTAATCATCAAACCCTTGTGGGAGGTTATAGATTTAACCTAATGATTTACTATTTTGCTACCTTAAAATGCGGAAATAATCTGTGAATTTCCTTCACGCAGCTAGAATGTTAGTTCCAATGACTGTTAGGACATAGTTTTGCCCACAACCAGTGGGCATTTATATATGTACAGCACAGACTTTGAGCAATATAAAGTTGCTGTTCTGTGTCATTACGGACTATTTCTGCTGAAACTGCAAACCTATATTTTTGAAGTTGAGAAATGCACAGGGACTTGATCACTCTGTGTCACACACCCACACATTGAACATGTACAGGAAGCTTAAGAGTGGAGGCCCACACGGATAGCAAGTTCTTCTGTGCCTGGATAGACGGGACTGCGGCAGTAGGAGACTCTCCTTTCCCCCTCACTTGGGCCTTTCTCTTTGCCTTAGTCTCCTGACTGCGCATGCAAGCATGTGCACGTGTGCGCGCGCATGCACACACACACACGCATACACCCCTACCCAAAGATGGCTGTGGCGCTCTACCCTCGGCCCTGCTGGTTGGGGGCTTTCATGGAATTTACTCTGGTCTCTAGGATGTATCCAAGAGGATTCCAAGCCATGTGAAAATTACCCTGCTTTCTAGAGAGTGGAATGTGACCCTGCAACTTTAGAAGCACAATCAATAATTTTTTAAAAAGTTCTTGTCTACTTACATTAGAGAAATTGACAGGTTGTAAGAATTAAATGTCTCTTTGCAAACCAGAACATGTTCCAGTTTTAGAAACTGCATTTTGGTGGTTTCCTTTACACCTTTCCTGTGTGGGGCATCTCCCTGAATCTGATCCCTTTTAGTGAAGAGGGTGGCCGCACTCGGGGAACTGCTTCTGGTCCCCTGGACTTGTCCACCGTACAGGTGGCCCAGTGGGTGTGCTTTTTACATGAAGCAATAGAGTACAAAAATGCTTATTTTTTCAGAATCTAATGTGTTCCTTAAAATCTGTTCCTTCTCTCCATCTGAATTCTTTGGTTTTTCTATGTGTTTCAGTCTTTTTTCTTTCTTCTCTCTGACTCTGTCTCTCTGTGTCTCTTTTTGCCTTATATCCCAAGGACTAAAGAATTAGCACAGACACATTCTGAAGTTAAGTAAAATAGTTACAGTAGGTGGTTAGTGGTCATGGTTTTCTGTTAAGGTGTTAAAGAATGTCTGAGGATAGTCTTGAATGTACCATGTTCTGATCCTGCTTCAGTTCTTGTGTCTGTGTCTACATGATGACAAACATTTGACAGGGAATAAAGTGTCCATTGTCATGAGTGCGAGTGTGCCCTCCCCCTTTGGTCTTGACCCCAGTGTTCTTTTTCTTTTTCAGTTGGGGGTGGGGCTGTCTACAGCAGTCACTAACCAACCGTGGGATCTGCTCGGTGGTGATGGCTTGGCTGTTTGAATGGAAAGAGGGCCCGACCCCACTGCAGCACAGCCTCACGGAGCTCTGCTTCGTGCCCAGTTGGCAGAGGCTGGCGACGCCTGGTGGAGGCTCTGTAGCTGTGTAGCTCCTGGGGACTGGCACTGCTATTTGGAAATACTGGCCTCACCTCGGGTAGATCCAGCCTTAATGTCTTTCTGACATCCTAGTAAGAGCAGACCCTGCACAAAGTGAATATTAGAGTTGATACTGTGAGGAGTCAAAATAATGAAAATAATTTTACCAAAGATAATGAATTGTCGAATACTGTCTGGATTTTACCATTGATTTGAGTGCATCCTTAGAAAATTGAATGTAACAAAAACCCAGGACATTTTTGCAAATTGTATGCTGTCTAGCAATTTGTGTGAATTTTTATACAAGCACTGTTTTATGAGTTATATAAAATGTTATAAAAATAGAAAACCTGTGGTCTCCTAACATCTTATTTCCTTGGGGCGCCAGTCTCAACAGCCCGGATCTGCCTGGGTGGGTGGCTCCCTGCTCTCCCAGGGGGAGAGGTGAGTGTCTGGGGATTTCAGCGTCTCCTCCTCTGGGCGGCGGGTGCTGCTCAGGGGCTTTAGTGTTTGGTGGTAGCTGAGTGACAGAAGTTACCCCATCACCCCATGGCCCATCCTGCCCCACAGTGCACTGACTGCTCCCTGGATCTTCTACCCTCCAGCTCAGGTGCTAGGCTGGCCCTCCCACATGCCTGGCTTGTGACATCGTTCCTCCCTGCTAACAAAGGATGCATGTTTTCCCTCACCCTCTTTCCTTTGCCAGTTATGTATCAGTAACCCTAAATGGTATTTCCTAGTAAAAATAACAATGTCTCCAGCTGTCAGAGAAAGTATTTTTTTTTTTCTTTTTTTTTTGGCGGAACCGGGGATTGAACTCAGGCCCTTGCGCTTGCCAAGAAAGCGCTTATTCCACTGAGCCATCTCCCCGGGCCCCTGAGAAAGTATTTTGGCCCAGGGATCACAGGATGTAGTTTGTGGCTCTTCTATGGTCATGGTTTTTATACAGCATCTGCTTATTTCTGGTGTTTCATTGAAGTTGGAGCTGGAGGTTGAACCCAGGCCTCACACGGTCTGCTGCTGAGCTACTCCCCCTAGCCCTTTATTTCTGTTTTGCAGTTCCAAAAGCTGTGCTTTAGCCTTGCTGACAGGTCAACCCTGTCCAGCACTGGGGCCTCAGAGGCTGAGTGCGCCAGTTGTTTATGAAAGAATCAAAGAAAGGCCAAATTCTTTTTTGTTGTTAAAGGTTGGATGGATTCTTTAAGCTCCTTCTGGTTATAGGTATCTGTTCTCCATGAGCAAAATTAGCCGAGCATTACAGTGGGAGTGCAGACTTTCACACACATTGCTTCTCACCACACCGATTGTGATCATCCATCTCAGTGAGATGCTATGGCCTCTTGGGGGCCTGCAGGTAAGCAGAGCTCCTTGGTTGCTGGTGGGGAGTGCAGGGGAGGGAGCATCCCTTGGCTGCTGGCCAAGATAGAGGGTAGAGGGCAGGCTAGATACCTTAGTGGATTAAAGCACCTTCTTAGGCAGACTGGCGATTGGGGTTGATCCCTGTTGTGTTGTGCCAGCCCTGCGCCTGGGGTGCCCCGAGAGGGCAATTGAGACTGGGTGTGGTGGCCCGAGCCTGTAATCCCAGCGTTTGGGAGGCTGGAAACTGGAGGATCACTATGAGTTCCATCTGTGTAGTGAGACCCTGTAGATCCTGTACTAAGTACATACAAATAAATAATGACGTAACTGCTGCAGAAGCCCCACCTAAAGGATGCGCTGTCATCCTTCCAGAACCCTGGGGGGTAAGTTCCATAAGTGTGCCCAGTAATGGGCCAAGGGTCAAGCCTGCATAGCATGTGTACTGACTGTGTCACCTGATTGCCAAAAGAACAGTGCCATAGCACTCTTCTGTGGTAAGGAAGCAAGGTGATGTAGGATTCTTGTCCAAGTTCACTTAACTGGCAAATGGTGCCAGGCTTTGAACCTGTTCATCTCTCCACCACATCATACCATTTTAGAAACTAAACACCCCACACAACCGTTCACATTGAAAATAATGTGAATGGTGACCTCACCACATTCTCAAAGCCCTAGCGTGTCTGCTCTCCATACAGGTGTGCTGGATGAAGCATTGTGCTGTGTGACATTGTAGTGACTGCAGCTGAACATCTTCTGTAATAGTCAACTTTTTTTTTTTTTTTTTTTTTTGTACAAGGAATCAAACTCAGGACCTTGCATTTGCCAGATGGCAGGCACTTGTGCTGCTGAGCTAAATCCCTGACCAAGAGTGAACTGTTTGAGATGGAACTGGGTGCTGTAGGTTGGGTGAGCTCCTTGGGAGCAGAACAGGGACCAGCTGGCTGAGGGCTGGAGGGGGGCGGCTGCAGTGTGGATTACAGGGCAGAACTTGGTCTAGCTGAGGCACAGGGCCTGGCCGGCTGTTATCTGAAGTCTTCCACAAAGATATAGTAACCAAGTGCAGGGGGCTTCCTTGGCTAAGAACGTTGCTCCAGAAGGGTAGCAGAGGGGCATGAGTGAGAAGCCAACAACATCCACTCACTGCAGGGATGAGTGTTTGAAGGGTTTCCTGTGTGAGAGTCCAGGGGCCTTGTTAGACACTGTTGAGCTCCTGGCCTAGAAAGTATCATGTAGTAGGTTTGGCAAGACTGTAGCATTTCCGTATCCTGCAAGTTCCCGGGTATGGCTGAGGCTGCTCACAGAGGAGGCGCTATAGTAATTTCCCCAAATGTGCTGTGTTTTGCCAAAACTGAGGGTAGTATACGGAAGGTTCTAGCTGAAATAAGTGGTTTCCTACCATGTTCATATGACACTGACTGCCTGAGTATAGTAGTGCACATCTGTAATCCTAACATTCACGAGACTGAGGCAGGAGGATGGCCAAGAGTTCAAAGCAAGCCTGGGCTGGGTAGTGAGTTCAAGGCCAGCCTGAACTACATAGCACTGTCTCCAAAAGAAAAGAAAACCAAAAAACTACTAAAGTCAGTGCCCTGGTGTACACCTGTAATCCCAGCTGCTTAGGAGGCCGAGGCAGGGAGATTGCAAGTTTAAGGCCAACATAAATTAGTGATGCCTGGGGCCAGGGAGATGGCTCAGTAAAATAAGAGCTTCTGAGTTCAATCCCTGGTTCTGAAAAAAAAAAAAAAAAAAAAAAAAAAAGTGATGCCTTGTCTTGCAGTAAAATAAAGGGCTGAGAGTGTAGCCTATAGCTCATTGTAGAGTATTTGC